TTTTTTTGTTATTTTTGGATATAAAACATATTTGTCAAACTTTAATGAACGTAGAACAAGTATTGCATTGCTTTATATTTTTTGAAACGACTCATAATAATTTTAAAGAGTAAAACATTGTATTAGTTCAATATTTTTACTTCTATTTAAGTCATGTCATAAGGCACTTTTAGCGCAATTTTCGCATTTTAAGGGCATTTTTTGCACTTTTTAAGGGCATTAATTGAGATTTTTTAGGTCATCAAAATCCGGGCTCTACTAATTACTATATTGGTATATGTTTAGAAAGAAATACACTTAAAATATTTCTTTTGTATTAGATATAAAGTAAATGAATCTCTGAGAAATGGAACGAAATTTTTTCAATTTTTACAACATACAAGGTGAAATTCTTCTCCTTTGCTGCAATTATTTAATAACTTTCTTTCAGTTTCTACGGTCGTTGACCTTCTTCTCGGCTTTTATTCAAACTCATTGTTCTTCCTATAAACGTCGTCAAAGGTTCAAACGGAATAAAATATGTCTGAAAATTAAAATTTAAGGAAACTCCACAATTAAGTTAAACGAGATATTTTTTTTATACAAATGTTATTACAAGATTAATAGAATTATACTCAAGGAGTTACCATTTATTGCAAACAACTGTTAAATATCCTTTAAATGCATAGAATGATTTTAGATAGGTATTTTATTCACGTCGTACTAGAGCTGCACAATATTTTAGACGGTCTGGGAAATATTCCTGAGGATGATCCGAAGACATGCCATCTCAATTTCAATTCTTTGTAGAGGGGATGGCTCCCCTGCTTTGCTATCTTGACGTCCTACGCGTGAAGTCGAGCACTTTACGGTAGAACAGTTTAACGAGGACTGATACCGTGTAGACTCAGGCTGATCAAAGTGGTCACCCACCTGCTCACTGACAGGAGTCAGTGATACTTGAGTTCAATGTTCTACTGGGAACCGTGTCTTTGCAACCAGTTCAATGCGGGACAAAATAATTGCAAATTCACACAAATAGATTTAAAATTTATTTAATTAGTAAAAAATAGCTATTACTTAAATATAAGCTTAAAAGTTTGATTAATTTGATTTGAAGTGGAAATTACTGGAATGAAATTTAAAATTTAGCCTAAATGAGTGTTTAAAAAATCAAAAAATGAATTTTCTACCATTTTATTTAAGTAAATAAATTCTTTAATGCCCACTTTAGTTACTATTTTAAGGATTATTGTACCATGGATTAGAAACCATGGAAAGAAATACCATGGATTATTGTATACCATGTTGTATCATCGCTGGTTCACATGTTGCACCATCATATATGGCTCATATGTTGTACCTGTCGTGAGCAAAAGGTTAACTCATATTGGACGACTTTATTGTCATTTTATTGAGTATGTCAAATTCAAAACTGAATCCATTACATTAAGTCGCGACATCGAGCAATGCACCATTATTAACGGAACTTTAAATAATCAAAAAACACTGAAAGGTTTTCAAAAATGATAAAAGCTATGCATTAAAAACGCATGAATTCACACAATTAGAACCTAAAAATTATCAAATTTCTAAAAGATAAGAAACCATGCGTTGAGGACCCGAGATCCTGAGTCGTCCAGTACAGTTAGCAAACATCTCATCTCTGCTGCAAATTAACATATTTCTCTCCTTTCCTCTAGTGCCACGGTTCGAATAGACTAGTAGTTATCCATAGTGCTTGGGGACTACAGTCTATTAGTCAATATATTCTGTTCAGTTTAACTAAGCAGTTGTATATTGTAATCAGTCTGAAATTGGAAAGACTGTTCAACCGCCCTTTACTTTCTACCAGAGATTATTCTTCGATTTCATTGGTTACTCTGGGTGTGCAGGACAACATAATATTATCACGTATACTTCTCTTAAGGGAATGGTATCCTATTCAGTAAATAATTCTACTTTTTGCATAACCATCTGCATCAATGTAGGATGGCATCCTCTTTAATTTCAATAGAGCTCATTCTAAGTGACATTTTAAGGAATTTCTTTAAATTAGCTTTAAAGTTTTCGACATTTACAATAAAAATATGTCTTGCAGTTACAGATCTACAATTAGCAAAATATATAAATAACACTTATTCAAATTTTTCATATCGTATAGCACTCGGTGTCTTGTCATTTTTGATACCCAAAGAGAGGTATTTTTAAGGTTAGTAGCCGACTGGTTTGTTGTCACATGCCTTTCTGGATATTCAATCAATCAATATTGTACATTTAATACTAAACTAAACTCACTGGCGTGACAGCCCATAGAGGGCCAAGGCCTACTATGCTCATCTCAGTTTTCCTGTCCTTTTGCTCTGGGATGCAGGAGCACATGTTCCGTTTCGGTGGTCAGCCGAACGCTAAACCCCAGTGTTTAGTCCGCAGACATGCTTGATACTCATTTTATCTACCCACTGAAGGGATGAAAGATCGCGTCAACCTTGCCCGCCCCGAGGATCGAACCCAAGGCTTGCGTCACGAGATCACGAAGCGCTACCCCTCAGCCACCGGGCACATATAGCTTATATTAGACTTGCTGTTATAGTTCATTTACATCGCACTACAGCTGCACAATGGGCAATTAGCGACTGTCTGGGAAACATCCCAGAGGAAGATCCGAAGACATACCATCACAATTTTGATCCTCTGAGTAGGGATCACACCCCCCTTCTGTAGCCGGATGACCTGAACGCGAAGTCGAGCACTTTACGGTAGAACAGTTTAACGAGGATCCATACCACACACCCTCGGTCCCTAAGCAGACTAATCTAAGTGGTCGCAACCTCACACTGACCACAGCCAATGATGCTTGACTTCGGTGATCTGCTGGGAACCGTTAGTTAAATATCAGTCCACTGCGGGAGTTAATATAAGAACTTTCTAATATAAGTTAATATTAGAATTTTCTAATACAAGTTTGTATTAGAACTTATTATTATGATAATATTAGTTAATATTAGAACTAAAATAAGAACTTTCACTAAGAAATCCTTTTTTAAATAAATAGTCTTTTTTGCCTTTAAGGTTCGTTCCTTACTTCTCGTCTGGATGCCACGCCTGCTCAGAATGAATCGGCCGACGAACCAGCTCCAGAAGAAGAGTCTCAACTCGAAGAAAGAGTTCGAGCTGAAAGAGCGATCCTCGAAGAGTCTTCTCGCCAATGTCCTCGACATCGACGTTAGAGAGAACGCCTCTTCTTCCTACCTGCCGACCGAGGAGACACCTGCTACCGTCCGAGGTTGCTTCGCCACCCAAAGAGAACTGAACGCCATCCTCAGAGAACTGAGGTACGTGACCGGTCGCATGAAGAGGGAAGAGAAGGTCGGTGAGATCATCTCAGAGTGGAAGTACGCGGCCATGGTGGTGGACAGGATTTGCCTCATCCTTTTTACACTCTTCACGGTGCTATCCACCTGTATCTGCCTCTTCTCAGCTCCGCATCTCATCGCCTGACCATTCCTCTATGACGTGCTGGACGATTGCTGGAATAATATCCTCTTCTGAATATCTCTGGTTCTTCTCGTCTTATTTGGTAAACAAGTTTTTTTTTCATTTCCGGGTGCTTGGATCTATTTCCCATTGCCTTCAGAAATTCCAGAATTGTTATAGTTCGTTAGGCGATTTTTCACTTCTCCAAACTTTTACTCTCTTCATTTCCGTTGTTACGGCAAAGTTTACTCTTTATCCACATCAACACGTTTCTAGAGCCGTGATGGATCAGATGATAGAGCGTTCACCTGCCTATGTGATGAACTTGGGTTCGAATCCCGGCGATGGCTGGTCGATACAAATTCCACATCCGGTTTGCACCAATCACGGTGAAATATCTTCACTGGTAGACGGATCATGGGTTAGAGTTTCCTTGCCGTCAGGCTTACCGTTGAAGGTTCTCGTGGTTTTCCACTCCATGTAACGCAATTGCGGGTTAGTTCGATCAAAAAAGTCCTCCTCGAAGGTAAATTTCTTCGAATACTCGATCCAGGAGTTCCCTTGTTTTCTTGTTCAAAATGACAAGGTGCTAATCCCAAGATTGGGTGTGTTGTTAGACAACGGTTATAAAATCAATACGTTTCTGAAAGAAGATGGCATATGCACTGACGTGGGGAAATCGTGAACGCTTGAGTCACCTATTATGTTTACAAATATATATATATTAGTCCGTTCACCAGGGAATGGCTCTGCCTTCATCACGTGGTATCCGACGATACTATTTCGCTATTTTTGGGAGAAGGGTGTGAACAATTCTGAACAGGGTTGCTGTTTGGCCATCATTTGCGAAAAATATTTATTTTTCAATCTTTAGTTGCATTTTATTAGCATTAAATATTTCATAAATTTAATGGTATTTCTCGAGTAATGAAAGATATAATAGCAGATAATAAGGCGAAATGACTGAAAAAGAATTCACTGTTTGCGTTTGGCGCGCATTACGGGTTGTTTCATTTTCAAACGAGGTGACGTTTCTCTTCTTACTCCCTCGTTGAAATGAACTCTTCGTCCGAGGAGGTGGAGCCAAGTGTCAACTCCTGGTGAGCGAATAATACTCTGTTGTTACCGTTACCCAGTGGGCACCTGTGGCTAAGTCAGTGCGGTGGAGTATCTTTGGCCACTTCATACAACCACAAAACCGTTTATACGGCGGTTTACATTCACACAATCACACAGAAGAAAGGATAGAGAAAGTTACATCCATGCCTACGGTGGGATTCGAACCCACAACCACTGCCCTCGTAGTCCAGTTCAGTATAGACCAGTAATCGGCAAACAAAAAACTGACTTATTACTTTTTTGCGGCATTAAATAAGTTTGGATGCTAAGTAAGTTTCATTAAAGAATGTTTGACTGTTCTAATCTTTAGAGATGGATTTAGAGCAGTTTTCTTAAAGTTAACGGTGTAATATATAAGTTTAAACTTCAGAATAAAATTGCAGTTTGAATTTGTTCATTTAAAAAACAATGCAAACAGTTGTGGTTTGAGTTGCACTAATCTGTATTTACTTTTTCGGAATCGAACCAATAAGAAACAATAAAGTAAACAAATAATTTGTTTGTTTATTCTTAGAGAAGAAAGGGTGCACTTATTTAATACGATCTGCTAAGACGTTTTGCACCGAGTAATTTTAATTTAGAAACTGGCTATAGCTCAAAAAAATAAGACAAAAAAAATAAACAAAGGTTGACAATTATTTGAAATGAGTGTTAATTTAAAGAAAAACTTTAAGTACTAATAAAAATTAAACAAAATAGATTAGAATATTATCAGAAAAATAAATATCTGGAAAAAAGTATAATGAAATGATTAATTGAATAGTTCTGTGAATTACATTGGGACCGGGTAATAAAAAATTTAATTTTAAAATTAAAATGTTAGGATGACAAATAAAAATTTGTCATCCTAACTTTTGCTTGAAATGGAAGTAACGGTTAATATCTGTTACAACGTAGGAAGTAATTTTTTGTTTTACAAAGTTGTTAAACTACATTATTTCTATAACGCTAAGTTTTCCAGAATTACAAAGAAATCAGTATCCTTTATTTTCTCAAAGCAATTGGAGAATCAATTTGTTTTCTTTAAATTGAACGCTTATATTTTGGAAATGTTTTTTATTGTCGGGAATGAGTTAAATTTCAAAGCAGTATAGCCTTTTTTTAATCTACTATGTTTTTACTTCTATCCTGTGTAATGTATAACTCGTTCACCAAGAGTTGGCACTTGGCTCCGCCTTCACCACGTGATTTGCGACGATACTATTTCGTTATTTTCAGGAGAAGGATGTGAGCAATCCTGAACTAGGATGATATTTGGCGATCGTATGGCAAAAATATTTATCTCGCAAACTTTATCTGCATTTTTTTAACATTAAATATTTCATAAATTTAATGTTATTTCTCTGTTTTGAGTGAAAATTGTGTCCTTTTTAAGACATTTTGCTAGGAAAAGAACAGTTTTTAAATTTATTTAATTAGTTACAGAAACGAAAGGTATAATAGCGGATGATAAAGCGAAGTAAGTGACTGAAAAAGAAATCACTGTTTGTGTTTGGCGCTCATTAAGGATTGTCTCCATTTCAAGCGCGTTTCTCTTCTTACTCTCCGCGCTGACTTGAACTCTGCGTCAGAAGAGGTGGAGTCAAGTGCCAACTCCTGGTGAACGAACTATACTTTGAAAAACAATTCAAAAGATTTCGATAACGGAAACAGTTGCATCAAATTCTTTATGAACCAGAGATTTTCAATTTTTATTGCATTGAAGTTCTGATACTGAAATCCTGTGGAGTGTGATATTTTATACAATATATAAACACAAAGTCACGTGCACACATGAGAAACAATATAAGTATTTAATATAATCCGGTGTTTTTACATTCGTTGTTTTTTCTATATATTTTGAATAAACTTTATATGATATTTATCAATTCAATGCACAATGTTTCACATTTTTTTCTTTTTCAAATTTAAATTGTATGTGCAAGAACATGTATTTCTGGTCTTTTTAAAACTTTCTCATCTTTTTTCTTCCAAAAGCCATGGATGTTAAAAGATTTTTGTAATAAATAAATAAAATGTACAACATGATGTCATTTCGAATTTTTGCAATAAAAATGCAGAAAAGAGTGCACCAGTGCAATATTTACATTTAAAGCAATATCGTTTTTAAATAATATATCATGATAATTATTTTTACTTTCAATGTCTTTTAATATTCGTAACCTGAAATTTTAGTTGTGAGATACGATTTTAAGTTGTATCTCTCTATTTTATCCATACGATACTATAGGATGGAGAAAAAAATCGAAACATAACCAACGAGATAGATTTCAATAGTTAGCAAATAACTAAGTCTAACTACTCATTATTCATAAAATAAACAAATATACCCTTTATAAAAATGTATATATAATTTCGCTCCTTTCAAAAAGTTGGCATATTTCAATCACAGCATTATTTTTAAATTGTCATTTAAATGTATTTATTTGTTTTAAATAAAATGTTTTTTATTTAAAACTATTCATAAACTCTTTTTTTATATATTCTTACCATGGCTTAACGGATAATTATAGATTTTATTTATATTTTTTTGTATCATTTTAAGTAAAAATATATATTTTCACCCAAAAATCATCTTTCTGTTAAAATGAAATAAAAAGAAAAATACATTTTTAGGTTTTCAGCTTTATTTAACTGAAACTCTGAGGAAAGTTTTTTCAGTTTTCGTAAATATTTAGCTGAAATATTGTTCCTTTAAGGACAAGTTTAATGGACCATAATAAAGAAATAAATGTTTTAAGGAATTTGTAGTCTTTCTGTGGTAGTAAATATTGCTTCATGTGTAGTAAAATAAATAGTTAATGTCCTTGTTGTTTGTGATAATTGTAGTAACTTGGCGATACTAAAAGAGTAGAAAATGATGGCTTTTCTTTTAAATAGTGCATACAAAGTCAATTAAATTAAAACAGATTTGTTAGTTTCATTTCAACATGTTTTGAATTTTCCATTGAAAAATAAAGATATTACTTTTATTATGTAATAATAGATTTGAAACTTATTATCATGTCCAATGCGCAAAATAAAAAAAGGACCATCCTCAAAAACTTTCGATCAAGTGATCGGATCCTCACGTTCTAGGACTCAATATTAAACTTTCAAAAGGGTGACCTCAAATATGTTAATTAATTAGTGCAGACGATATTGCGAAATCAGACATGAAACATATTTTCACTGAATAAACATACTTTTTCCCCCCGCGGATTTCTGACCCTCAAAATACAGGGGTTAGCCACAATCTGGGAAATATGGTCCATATAGTTTAATTGAGAGTGGTTCAAAGTTTGGACCCCTTAATGTTAATTTTACTTTTTGCGTACTTAAAACTTTTTGCATACAATAATAAATTTCCATTAGCCAAAGATAATTCCACTCTAAAAACAACTTTTAGGGAGTATTTTTCATTAGTTTATTTTTATTTCAAAAGCAAAAATTTTGAATGTTTAATTAATTTCAAAAAATGCATTCGAACAAATCGGTCAAATAGTTCCCGAGAAATTGAATTTTAAAAACACGAAATTAGATTTCTGAGAAACTATTCGACCAATTTCGCTCATTTAAAATTGCTTATTATAAAATGATGTGAAAAATTGTTAACCTTATGATTCAAAATTTTTCCGACTATTATTAAATAAAATAATAAATATATACTAAAACTTATATTTTGCATAGAATTATCTCTTGAAGAACAAATTTTAAATTTTTTTTAATTCGCTTAAAAATTTCTTGAGATATGGCGAAATATGTAAAAAATAAAGTTAACATTAAGGGGTCCAAAATTTTGGAGTGCTCTCAAACTATTGGGACCATTTTTCCTAGATAGCGACTACCCCCTATATTTTGGTGATCAGAATTCCGATCAACGGTATGTTTATTCAGAGAAAGTGCTTTTTTGTGCCTGATTTTATAACTTAAAATATCGTATGCACTAATAAATTAGCATATTTGAGGTCACCCCTTAGAAACTGCACTCATTATTTAACCATCATTACATTAAGATTGACTCCTAGAACGTGACGATCCGTTCATTGGAGCAAAAGTTATTGAGGGTGATACTATTTTTACTGTGCGCACTGTACATTAAAAACAAGAATTAAGAGTTATTATCCCTGTCAAATAAGCTAACACTCTATTAAAAAAACTAAGGAAAAATATATTTAATTTCTGAAAGTTGCAATTCTATGATCAGCACATTTTAATCAACGTTTTTAGTACATTCATGATTTTAAATGAATGTTTCAAAATAGTGAAACTTCGAGATAGTGCTGATTTGGTTGAAAACTATCCAAGACACCCATTCTCCATGATTTATATGTA